CAGTTGTTGTAGGTAGTTCAGTTGTTGGCACAGAACTTGTGAGAACTTCAGCTGTGGTTGTTGCCAGAAGCGAAGTCAATTGTTGCTCAGTTGAAGCTTCAGTGGAAGTTGCATACTGAGTTGTAGGTACTAGTACTGTAGTTGATGTTAGAACTAATTCTGTTGTAGTTGGTGAAGCTGATTGTTGTTCGGTTGTAGGCACATCGGTTAATGTGCTTGTATGCAGAGTTGTTTCTTGTTCAGTAGATAATGTTGGATTTTCAGTTGTACCGATCAGTGTTTCTGAAGTGAATGTGTTTTGCTGAGTTGTATCAAGGGTTGTTTCTGGTTGAGTAATAGTTGTTAGTGGACTTGTCAATAATTCTGCCATGGTTGTTGTTGGAAGAGAAGTTGACTGCTCCTGAGATGCTGTAGTAATATCAGCTGAGGTGGTTGTTGGGAATTCAGTTGTAATTGGTTCAGGACTTGTGAGCAATTCACTTGTAATAGTTGAGGAAAGTGAAGTCAGTTGCTCATTTGTCGTTACTTGTTCTGTAGTTGTTAGAGGTTCTGAAGTGATTATTGATGATTGTTCAGTGGTTGTGCTTTGCAGAACTGTTGCAGCAGTTGTTGTAGGCAGTTCAGTTGTTGGCACAGAACTTGTGAGAACTTCAGCTGTGGTTGTTGCCAGAAGCGAAGTCAATTGTTGCTCAGTTGAAGCTTCAGTGGAAGTTGCATACTGAGTTGTAGGTACTAGTACTGTAGTTGATGTTAGAACTAATTCTGTTGTAATTGGTGAAGCTGATTGTTGTTCGGTTGTAGGCACATCGGTTAATGTGCTTGTATGCAGAGTTGTTTCTTGTTCAGTAGATAATGTTGGATTTTCAGTTGTACCAATCAGTGATTCTGCAGTGGTTGTGTTTTGCTGAGTTGTATCAAGGGTTGTTTCTGGTTGAGTAATAGTTGTTAGTGGACTTGTCAATAATTCTGCAATGGTTGTTGTTGGAAGAGAAGTTGACTGCTCCTGAGATGCTGTAGTAATATCAGCTGAGGTGGTTGTTGGGAATTCAGTTGTAATTGGTTCAGGACTTGTGAGCAGTTCACTTGTAATAGTTGAGGAAAGTGAAGTCAGTTGCTCATTTGTCGTTACTTGTTCTGTAGTTGTTAGAGGTTCTGTAGTGATTAATGATGATTGTTCAGTGGTTGTGCTTTGCAGAACTGTTGCAGCAGTTGTTGTAGGCAGTTCAGTTGTTGGCACAGAACTTGTGAGAACTTCAGCTGTGGTTGTTGCCAGAAGCGAAGTCAGTTGTTGCTCAGTTGAAGCTTCAGTGGAAGTTGCATACTGAGTTGTAGGTACTAGTACTGTAGTTGATGTTAGAACTAATTCTGTTGTAGTTGGTGAAGCTGATTGTTGTTCGGTTGTAGGCACATCAGTTAATGTGCTTGTATGCAGAGTTGTTTCTTGTTCAGTAGATAATGTTGGATTTTCAGTTGTACCGATCAGTGATTCTGCAGTGGTTGTGTTTTGCTGAGTTGTTTCAAGGGTCGTTTCTTGTTGAGTAATAGTTGTTAGTGGACTTGTCAATAATTCTGCAATGGTTGTTGTTGGAAGAGAAGTTGACTGCTCCTGAGATGCTGTAGTAATATCAGCTGAGGTGGTTGTTGGGAATTCAGTTGTAATTGGTTCAGGACTTGTGAGCAATTCACTTGTAATAGTTGAGGAAAGTGAAGTCAGTTGCTCATTTGTCGTTACTTGTTCTGTAGTTGTTAGAGGTTCAGTAGTGATTATTGATGATTGTTCAGTGGTTGTGCTTTGCAGAACTGTTGCAGCAGTTGTTGTAGGCAGTTCAGTTGTTGGCACAGAACTTGTGAGAACTTCAGCTGTGGTTGTTGCCAGAAGCGAAGTCAATTGTTGCTCAGTTGAAGCTTCAGTGGAAGTTGCATACTGAGTTGTAGGTACTAGTACTGTAGTTGATGTTAGAACTAATTCTGTTGTAATTGGTGAAGCTGATTGTTGTTCGGTTGTAGGCACATCGGTTAATGTGCTTGTATGCAGAGTTGTTTCTTGTTCAGTAGATAATGTTGGATTTTCAGTTGTACCAATCAGTGATTCTGCAGTGGTTGTGTTTTGCTGAGTTGTATCAAGGGTTGTTTCTTGTTGAGTAATAGTTGTTAGTGGACTTGTCAATAATTCTGCAATGGTTGTTGTTGGAAGAGAAGTTGACTGCTCCTGAGATGCTGTAGTAATATCAGCTGAGGTGGTTGTTGGGAATTCAGTTGTAATTGGTTCAGGACTTGTGAGCAGTTCACTTGTAATAGTTGAGGAAAGTGAAGTCAGTTGCTCATTTGTCGTTACTTGTTCTGTAGTTGTTAGAGGTTCTGTAGTGATTAATGATGATTGTTCAGTGGTTGTGCTTTGCAGAACTTTTGCAGCAGTTGTTGTAGGTAGTTCAGTTGTTGACACAGAACTTGTGAGAACTTCAGCAGTGGTTGTTGCCAGAAGCGAAGTCAATTGTTGCTCAGTTGAAGCTTCAGTGGAAGTTGCATACTGAGTTGTAGGTACTAGTACTGTAGTTGATGTTAGAACTAATTCTGTTGTAATTGGTGAAGCTGATTGTTGTTCGGTTGTAGGCACATCAGTTAATGTGCTTGTATGCAGAGTTGTTTCTTGTTCAGTAGATAATGTTGGATTTTCAGTTGTACCAATCAGTGATTCTGCAGTGGTTGTGTTTTGCTGAGTTGTATCAAGGGTTGTTTCTGGTTGAGTAATAGTTGTTAGTGGACTTGTCAGTAATTCTGCCATGGTTGTTGTTGGAAGAGAAGTTGACTGCTCCTGAGATGCTGTAGTAATATCAGCTGAGGTGGTTGTTGGGAATTCAGTTGTAATTGGTTCAGGACTTGTGAGCAATTCACTTGTAATAGTTGAGGAAAGTGAAGTCAGTTGCTCATTTGTCGTTACTTGTTCTGTAGTTGTTAGAGGTTCAGTAGTGATTATTGATGATTGTTCAGTGGTTGTGCTTTGCAGAACTGTTGCAGCCGCAGTTGTTAGTGGTAGTTCAGTTGTTGACAGAGAACTTGTGAGAACTTCAGCTGTGGTTGTTGCCAGAAGTGAAGTCAATTGTTGCTCAGTTGAAGCAAAAAATTCTACTGAGGTGGATGTCTGAAGTCTTGTGGTTGTTGAAGTCGGTTCCGAACTTGTGAACGGTTCCAGAGTACTTGTTACTGGAAGTGACGTTAATATTAGCTCATTTGTTGTTGGGACGCTATCTGTGCTTGTCGTATATAAAGACATTGTTGGTTGCATAGTTGAAGTTGGAAACTCAGTTGTGCTTATCATGGATTCAGTGTTTTCTTCCTGTACTGTAGTCTCAAATAATGGTATATATGTGGTGGTGGGTTCATTTGTACTTGCAAGAGAACCATTGAGAAATTCACTTGGGTTTGTTGCTGGAAGTGAACATAAAATATTTATTCAGTTATTTCTATCATGAAATACTTACTTCCACATCCTGGGTTTTTATAAATACGTTTACTCTTCATTAATATTTCACACAGATTTTGTGCCATTTGAAAAACAGGGTGGAAAATGTACTCACCAGCTTCAATACTGTTTGGAATGATATCTAAATAGACATTGGATTCGTTAACAGCTTGTTCTAGTGCCTCCACTATCTCTGTTGTGTTGGGCATCGCTGTCTCGTTTTCAAAATACAACACACTGTCCACTCCAACAGAGCCAGACCTAATGAAAAAAGAAATTTGGATATAAAATAATATTTACTGCTGTGATGTTACGTATTATTAACTTTTTTGATAATACATACTATTACCAAATAGTTTCAATTATGCAAATTAATTGAAAACACTAATTGGACTTGGTATACTTAAATTAATCTGGACATAGTTATAGAAGTTTTGATCATTTTAATACCTTTCAAAGTAGACATAATAAAATTTCAAACATATTTTTGATTGTTTGAGAAGGTGATTAAAATAACTTACCAAACTCTGATGATCACACATCTTTGGAACAAAGGGTATTTTAGTTTGTATCCCCTGTTCACCTAAAAACATTAAAATGGCGCAAATAAAGTCAATGTATTGTAGTCACAGTTATACGGACTGATTTAATTTAAAACATTTAGCATTTTCAGAAATTAAAATATTTAACTTTAAAAGATTTTTGAAGACAAGTAGTACCTCAGTTGTCACATTTGTTTTTAGTGTTTGATATTCAGATGACGTTAGATCATTGTATTCTTTGAGGAAAGTGCGCAACAGCTTGAAGCGTAGATAAAGGTAGCCTTCATTTGCTGTTGAAGCTCTGATATTTGATGTTGTAATTGTTGAAGTATTTGCAACAAGTTTATTTGTGGTTGTTAGGGCAAGTAATGTTGTTTGAGGTTCATTTGTTTGGTGCAGAGTTAATGTTGCTTCTTCTTTATTTGATGTTGGCATGTCTGTGGTGCTTAATGATTTTGCTGTGGTTGTATTTTCCTGAGTTGCAGATGTACTTGTTGGTGAAATAGTTGTAGTTGGTACAGAACTTGTGGTAAGTTCAGTTGTGGTTGTTGGGATTGACGTTGATTGTTGCTCAGTTGTTGTGATGACATCAGTTGTGGTAGTATACAGAGTCGTTATTACTGGTTCTGTACTTGATGTTGGAACATCAGGGGTGCTTAGGTCTGATTCTGCAGTGGTTGTTTCCTGCACTGTTGTCTCAAGTGTTTTTTCTGGTGTTGTAGATTCACTTGTAGTTGGTTCAAAACTTGTGGTGGTTATTGATAACAAAGTTGATTGTTGCTCATTTGCTGTCAAGACATCACTTGAAGTGACTATGAGCAGAGTTGTTGGAGGTTCTGTAGTTGATGTTGGAATTTCAGCAGGCCCTGTTGATAATCGTTCAGTGGTTGTGTTTTGCAGAGTTGTTTCAAGTGTAGTTGATGACTCAGTTATAGTTGTTACAGAACTTGTGAGGAGTTCAGTTGTGATTGTTGGAAGTGAAGTTGATTCTCTTGTACTTGTTGCAGGAATATCAACCGTGGTGGTATATAGAGTTGTTATTCCTAGTTCTGAAGTTGTAGTTGGTGCAGAACTTGTGAGGAGTTCAGTAGAGGTTATTGTTGGGAGTGAAGTTGATTGTTGCTCTGTTGTTGTAGGGACATCAGTCAGGGTGGTATATAGTGTTGTTTCTATTTCTGAAGTTGTAGTTGGTGCAGAACTTGTGAGGAGTTCAGTAGAGGTTATTGTTGGGAGTGAAGTTGATTGTTGCTCCGTTGTTGTAGGGACATCAGTCAGGGTGGTATATAGTGTTGTTTCTATTTCTGAAGTTGTAGTTGGTGCAGAACTTGTGAGGAGTTCAGTAGAGGTTACTGTTGGGAGTGAAGTTGATTGTTGCTCTGTTGTTGTAGAGACATCAGTCAGGGTGGTATATAGTGTTGTTTCTATTTCTGAAGTTGTAGTTGGTGCAGAACTTGTGAGGAGTTCAGTAGAGGTTATTGTTGGGAGTGAAGTTGATTGTTGCTCTGTTGTTGTAGGGACATCAGTCTGGGTGGTATATAGTGTTGTTTCTATTTCTGAAGTTGTAGTTGGTGCAGAACTTGTGAGGAGTTCAGTAGAGGTTACTGTTGGGAGTGAAGTTGATTGTTGCTCTGTTGTTGTAGAGACATCAGTCAGGGTGGTATATAGTGTTGTTTCTATTTCTGAAGTTGTAGTTGGTGCAGAACTTGTGAGGAGTTCAGTAGAGGTTACTGTTGGGAGTGAAGTTGATTGTTGCTCTGTCTGTTGTAGAGACATCAGTCAGGGTGGTATATAGTGTTGTTTCTATTTCTGAAGTTGTAGTTGGTGCAGAACTTGTGAGGAGTTCAGTAGAGGTTATTGTTGGGAGTGAAGTTGATTGTTGCTCTGTTGTTGTAGAGACATCAGTCAGGGTGGTATATAGTGTTGTTTCTATTTCTGAAGTTGTAGTTGGTGCAGAACTTGTGAGGAGTTCAGTAGAGGTTATTGTTGGGAGTGAAGTTGATTGTTGCTCTGTTGTTGTAGAGACATCAGTCAGGGTGGTATATAGTGTTGTTTCTATTTCTGAAGTTGTAGTTGGTGCAGAACTTGTGAGGAGTTCAGTAGAGGTTACTGTTGGGAGTGAAGTTGATTGTTGCTCTGTGTTGTAGGACATCAGTCAGGGTGGTATATAGTGTTGTTCTATTTCTGAAGTTGTAGTTGGTGCAGACTGTGAGGAGTTCAGTAGAGGTTATGTTGGGAGTGAAGTATGTTGCTCGCGTGTGGGACATCAGTCAGGGTGGTATATAGTGTGTAGTTCTGAAGTTGTAGTTGGTGCAGAACTTGTGAGGAGTTCAGTAGAGGTTATTGTTGGAGTGAAGTATGGTTTTCATTGTTGCTCCGTCATTGTAGGGACATCAGTCAGGGTGGTATATAGTGTTGTTTCCTCAGAAGTGCTTATATCAGATTCTGCAGTGGTTGTTTTCTGTACTATAGTCTCAAATGATGTTGGTGTATATGTGGCAGTGGGTTCAGTTGTTATAGAATCTGTGACAAATTCACTTATGTTTTTTGCTGTAAGGGAAAGTTACATTATAGCATTAAAACTTATCATAGCTTCCAAAACTATATATTTCTCTATTGATTGTTATTATGCTAGATTTGTTTTGTAAATGTATTGCTGTTTTGCAGAAAAATAAACATAAAGTAAAGAATCTAGACTCACCAGCTTGAATACTGGAAAGAAGAATTTCTAAGGGGTTGGACGTGTTCAAGTTGTCCTGTAGTGTTGCCACTGCATCGGTAATGTTGGGCACCACAGTCTCATTTTCAAAAGCCAATTGAGCATCTGCTCCAACAGAGCCAGCCCTAATAATCAAAGAGATTAGACATATTGAATATAAACCTAATTGTAGTATGTCTTGTGACCACTAATTCCAAAGTCAACATTTTATCTTAGCATATACAGTAACCATTTGCAGATTTTTTTTTATTTTCATACTTTTAAAGCAGTGAGGTAGTAGAGATATAAGTCAATCATATATTTCTTAGATATTGAGGGGTTAATTAACACTGCTTACCAAAAGCGGATGATCACAGATCTTCGGAAGATTGGTGAATATTTTTGTATGAATGCTTTATTCACCTGAAAAAAATAAATATGGCCCAGATAAAATTATAAGCTTTCAGTTACAGTCAGAGACAGTCTAAATAGTCAGATTTTAATGTAAATAAAAGGAATAAAGTGTGCAATGAAAATGTTTATTGTGAAGGATTTACATAGTGTTGCAATACCTGAGTTGTCAGACTGCTTGCCAATGTCTGATATGCAGAGGAGTTTGGATCATAATAGTCTGAGAGGAAAATGCGAAGCAGCTTGAAGCGTAGGTAAAGGTAGCCTTCATTTTCCGTTGAGCTTGCAGTGCTTGTTGTTGTAGCAGAATTTGTAACAAGTTTATTTGTGGTTGTAAGGGAAATTAAAGTTGGTTGTTGCTCAGATTCATGCTGAGTTATTGTTGCTTGCGCTGTTGTTGATGTTGGAATTTCAGTGGTGACTATCAATGACTCTGTAGTGGTTGTTTGTTGCAAAGTTGTCTCTGCTGTTGTCAGTAATTCAGTTGTAGTTGGTACTGAACTTGTGAGGGATTCAGCTGTGGTTGTTGGCTGGAGAGATGTGGATTGTTCCTCAGTTGCTGTAGAAACCTCAGCAGAAGTGGTTGTATGCAGATTTATTACTTGCTCTGTAGTTGGGGTTTGAATTTCAGTGGTGACTATCAGTGATTCTGCAGTGGTTGTGTGTAGAAGAGTTGTCTCTGGTGTTGTTGGGGATTCAGTTGTAGTTGGTACTGAACTCGTGAGGGATTCAGCTGTGGTTGTTGGCTGGAGAGATGTGGATTGTTCCTCAGTTGCTGTAGAAGCCTCAGCAGAAGTGGTTGTATGCAGATTTATTACTTGCTCTGTAGTTGGGGTTTGAATTTCAGTGGTGACTATCAATGATTCTGCAGTAGTTGTGCGTAGCTGAGTTGTCTCTGGTGTTGTTGGGGATTCAGTTGTAGTCAGTACTGAACTTGTGAGGGATTCAGCTGTGGTTGTTGGCTGGAGAGATGTGGATTGTTCCTCAGTTGCTGTAGAAACCTCAGCAGAAGTGGATGTATGCAGATTTAATACTTGCTCTGTAGTTGGGGTTTGAATTTCAGTGGTGACTATCAGTGATTCTGCAGTGGTTGTGTGTAGCTGAGTTGTCTCTGGTGTTGTTGAGGATTCAGTTGTAGTCGGTACTGAACTTGTGAGGGATTCAGCTGTGGTTGTTGGCTGGAGAGATGTGGATTGTTCCTCAGTTGCTGTAGAAACCTCAGCAGAGGTGGTTGTATGCAGATTTATTACTTGCTCTGTAGTTGGGGTTTGAATTTCAGTGGTGACTATCAATGATTCTGCAGTGGTGATGTGTAGCTGAGTTGTTTCTGGTGTTGTTGGGGATTCAGTTGTAGTTGGTACTGAACTTGTGAGGGATTCAGCTGTGGTTGTTGGCTGGAGAGATGTGGATTGTTCCTCAGCTGCTGTAGAAACCTCAGCAGAAGTGGTTGTATGCAGATTTATTACTTGCTCTGTAGTCGGGGATTGAATTTCAGTGGTGACTATCAATGATTCTGCAGTGGTTGTGTGTAGCTGAGTTGTCACTAGTGTTGTTGGGGATTCAGTTGTAGTTGGTACTGAACTTGTGAGGGATTCAGCTGTGGTTGTTGGCTGGAGAGATGTGGATTGTTCCTCAGTTGCTGTAGAAACCTCAGCAGAAGTGGTTGTATGCAGATTTATTACTTGCTCTGTAGTTGGGGTTTGAATTTCAGTGGTGACTATCAATGATTCTGCAGTAGTTGTGCGTAGCTGAGTTGTTTCTGGTGTTGTTGGGGATTCAGTTGTAGTTGGTACTGAACTTGTGAGGGATTCAGCTGTGGTTGTTGGCTGGAGAGATGTGGATTGTTCCTCAGTTGCTGTAGAAACCTCAGCAGAAGTGGTTGTATGCAGATTTACTACTTGCTCTGTAGTCGGGGTTTGAATTTCAGTGGTGACTATCAGTGATTCTGCAGTGGTTGTGCGTAGCTGAGTTGTCTCTGGTGTTGTTGGGGATTCAGTTGTGGTCAGTACTGAACTTGTGAGGGATTCAGCTGTGGTTGTTGGCTGGAGAGATGTGGATTGTTCCTCAGCTGCTGTAGAAACCTCAGCAGAAGTGGTTGTATGCAGATTTATTACTTGCTCTGTAGTTGGGGTTTGAATTTCAGTGGTGACTATCAATGATTCTGCAGTAGTTGTGCGTAGCTGAGTTGTCTCTGATGTTGTTGGGGATTCAGTTGTAGTTGGTACTGAACTTGTGAGGGATTCAGCTGTGGTTGTTGGCTGGAGAGATGTGGATTGTTCCTCAGTTGCTGTAGAAACCTCAGCAGAAGTGGTTGTATGCAGATTTATTACTTGCTCTGTAGTTGGGGTTTGAATTTCAGTGGTGACTATCAATGATTCTGCAGTGGTGATGTGTACCTGAGTTGTTTCTTGTGTTGTTGGGGATTCAGTTGTAGTTGGTACTGAACTTGTGAGGGATTCAGCTGTCGTTGTTGGCTGGAGAGACGTGGATTGTTCCTCAGCTGCTGTAGAAACCTCAGCAGAAGTGGTTGTATGCAGATTTATTACTTGCTCTGTAGTTGGGGATTGAATTTCAGTGGTGACTATCAATGATTCTGCAGTGGTTGTGTGTATCTGAGTTGTCACTAGTGTTGTTGGGGATTCAGTTGTAGTTGGTACTGAACTTGTGAGGGATTCAGCTGTGGTTGTTGGCTGGAGAGATGTGGATTGTTCCTCAGTTGGTGTAGAAACCTCAGCAGAAGTGGTTGTATGCAGATTTATTACTTGCTCCGTAGTTGGGGTTTGAATTTCAGTGGTGACTATCAATGATTCTGCAGTGGTTGTGTGTAGCTGAGTTGTTTCTGGTGTTGTTGGGGATTCAGTTGTAGTTGGTACTGAACTTGTGAGGGATTCAGCTGTGGTTGTTGGCTGGAGAGATGTGGATTGTTCCTCAGCTGCTGTAGAAGCCTCAGCAGAAGTGGTTGTATGCAGATATACTACTTGCTCGGTAGTCGGGGATTGAATTTCAGTGGTGACTATCAATGATTCTGCAGTGATTGTGTGTATCTGAGTTGTCACTATTGTTGTTGGGGATTCAGTTGTAGTTGGTACTGAACTTGTGAGGGATTCAGCTGTGGTTGTTGGCTGGAGAGATGTGGATTGTTCCTCAGTTGCTGTAGAAACCTCAGCAGAAGTGGTTGTATGCAGATTTATTACTTGCTCCGTAGTTGGGGTTTGGATTTCAGTGGTGACTATCAGTGATTCTGCAGTGGTTGTGTGTTGCAAAGTTGTTTCTGGTGTTGTTGAGGATTCAGTTGTAGTCGGTACTGAACTTGTGAGGGATTCAGCTGTGGTTGTTGGCTGGAGAGATGTGGATTGTTCCTCAGCTGCTGTAGAAACCTCAGCAGAAGTGGTTGTATGCAGATTTATTACTTGCTCTGTAGTCGGGGATTGAATTTCAGTGCTGACTATCAATGATTCTGCAGTGGTTGTGTGTATCTGAGTTGTCACTATTGTTGTTGGGGATTCAGTAGAAGTTGGTACTGAACTTGTGAGGGATTCAGCTGTGGTTGTTGGCTGGAGAGATGTTGATTGTTCCTCAGCTGCTGTAGAAACCTCAGCAGAAGTGGTTGTATGCAGATTTATTACTTGCTCTGTAGTTGGGGTTTGGATTTCAGTGGTGACTATCAGTGATTCTGCAGTGGTTGTGTGTTGCAAAGTTGTTTCTGGTGTTGTTGAGGATTCAGTTGTAGTTGGTACTGAACTTGTGAGGGATTCAGCTGTGGTTGTTGGCTGGAGAGATGTGGATTGTTCCTCAGTTGCTGTAGAAACCTCAGCAGAAGTGGTTGTATGCAGATTTATTACTTGCTCTGTAGTCGGGGATTGAATTTCAGTGGTGACTATCAATGATTCTGCAGTGGTTGTGTGTATCTGAGTTGTCACTAGTGTTGTTGGGGATTCAGTTGTAGTTAGTACTGAACTTGTGAGGGATTCAGCTGTGGTTGTTGGCTGGAGAGATGTGGATTGTTCCTCAGTTGCTGTAGAAACCTCAGCAGAAGTGGTTGTATGCAGATTTATTACTTGCTCTGTAGTTGGGGTTTGGATTTCAGTGGTGACTATCAATGATTCTGCAGTGGTTGTTTGTTTCAGAGTTGTCTCTGGTGTTGTTGTTGGGGATTCATTGGTAGTTATCTCAGATTCTGCAGTGGTTGTTTCCTGTATTGTAGTCTCAAATGATGTTGGTGTAAATGTGGTGAGAGATTCACTTGTATTCACAGAATCTGTGACCAATTCACTTTTGTTTGTTGCTGAAAGTGAATGTGAATGATAGGTATACAGAATTAAACATAACAAAAGCTTCTAATTCATAAAAAAAAACATGTTCATGTACATGCACATAAACATTTAACATGTTCAGATTTTTTAATATGTATTATGGTATTGAATTACACTTTTTATGTATCCTTTTTAAAATTTTGTGATATTTAGTAGAAAAAAGAACATACACAGATTTCAGAGTAAAGAAGTTAGGTAAAAAAGACTCACCGGCATCAATACTGGATAGACTAATATTTAAGATGTTTGATGAGTTCAGAGCTTCCTGTAGTGTAGCTATAGCATCTGTTGTGTTGGGCACCGCTGTCTGGTTTTGAAAAACAACCTCGGCATCCACTCCAACAGAGCCAGACCTAAGAGGAGCCAGAGTTTAGAGACAGTTGTCAGCATAACATTACTATAAGTACTGTAGTAATGTTTATAATCTGTGGCATCTCTACATTAGGTGCCTGGCCCCACCAAATGTTGCTGTGGAGCAGTGCACGACATGATCAATAATCAATAATATATATATCTAATATATATATATATATATATATATATATATATATATATATATATGTAAATGATAATTTACACACGTCCAGACGTTTAGTAAACGTCATTTATGGTATGGGCATCGCTACACAGCCAGCCATTTTTCTTCATCAGTTGTGGTAGCTGCTCATAATAGCAAGGCAATATAATGAGTCAAGTCAAAAACATAATAAAAGTTAAATCTGGTACCAGCCATTAAAGCAGAAATTAGAGATTAAACATTTGGCACCACACCAGCCAGAGGATTTCAACATCATTCAGTCTGGAACTGCTCCTTCAATCCAACCGTGGCAAACTACGAATTTAGCTAAAAACACTCCTCTGCTTTCCTTGCCTGCCGTTGCTGTGCTATCATTTCAATTATTTCATGGATTGGTGGACTTTGAGAGAAATGTTTTTGACAATTTTGCCCAGGTGAAAGATCGTCATGCATCTTTTCTTTTTGAGCCGTGAATGTCACTGGTGAGTCAATTCCATTATTACAAGGCATGTTTGTGAGTTCAGACCATGCCTTCAACATGTGATGGTAGTACGAGGGAAGATTATTTGAGTGAGGGGAGAGAACTCTGAGAACTTGGGCTGGAGTTCTGGGCAGTTTCTGCCTGTAGCTAGAAGGCCAGATCCCCCCCTCCTGGCTATAGTAGGACTGATTCAGGACTGAGGAACATGGGTGGCGGTGGAAATTGCGAACTCTGCATCACAGGAACGGAAGGTGAGGATGTGAATTTATAGAGCATTAGATTGGAAGAAGGAGGGGTTTTAGCCATGCTCCTCCCCTCAGACTTCAATTGTGACATAACTACATTTATTCCTAATGCCCGGAAAGCCATGTGTTTCCCTGCTCTGAAATGTTGCTTTGGATGTGTAGTTGAAGACCACAATGATCATACATTGCTAGGTAATCTTGGATTTGTAATGCGATGCTGTATAACAAGGCTTTGTGAGATCTAATGTTGTTATCATATCACTCATATTGCTGTCTCCACTTTTCTAACTGCTGCACCACATTACGTTAATTTGTGAATTTGGGATTTCTCTGATGGAGCGCGTTTGTGTTTGGATCAGGTTTGTGTGTAGTTTCTTTGACAAGTCGGCTGCTGCCCCTACAGTTTAATGTGGCCCACTAGGCTTTCTGTGGCAGACACGACACTGTTCATAAACCTTACTACAAAAGTCAACAAAGCATCCAAAATTGCATGTCCTTGAAAAAGTGTATTAATCCTATTTACCAAAACCTGATGATCTCACATCTTCGGAAGGTTTGTGAATGTTTTCGTTTGAATGGTGTCGTCACCTGAAACAATAAAAATACCCCATGTAAAACCATTGGTTTTCTGTCACAGAAAAACTGAACAGCCAGATTAGCTTTCAATCACAGTCATATAAAAGCTGAGTCAGATTTGAATTTAGATTTAAAAAAAACACTTGTATAAAAGCAAATGTTTAAAAGTAAAAATTTTGGATAGTGTTGCAGTACCTCAGCTATCACATCGCTTGCCAGTGCCTTATATTCAGCTGTATTTGGATTATTATATGCATCAATAAAGTTGCGAAGGAGCTTGAACCGTAGGTAAAGGTAGCCTTCATTTTCTGTTGGAGTTCCAATATTTGTTGTTGTAGTTGTTACAGGAGTTGTGACAAGTGTATTTGTGGTTGTTAAGGGAAGTAAACTTGATTGTTGTTCAGTTGTTTTATGCTGAGTTATTGTTGCTTGCTCAGAAGTTGATGGTGGAATTGTCACTTTCACTGGTTCTGTGGCTGATGTTGGAACGTCACCTGCTGTTGATTTTTCCTCATTTGTTGTCATAACTTCACTTGACATGGTTGTGAGCAGAGTTGTCACTTGTTCCATAGTTGATATTGGAACTTCATCAGTGGTTGCTGCTGTTGATTGTTGTTCATTTGTTGTGACCTCACTTAATGTGGTCGTAAGCAGAGTTGTCACTTGTTCCGTAGTTGATGTTGGAACTTCATCAGTGGTTACTGCTGTTGATTGTTCCACATTTGTGGTTGTGACCTCAATTGATGTGGTTGCATGCAGAGTTGTTACTTGTTCCGTAGTTGATGTTGGAACTTCATCAGTGCTTATTGCTGTTGATTGTTGCTCATTTGTTGTTGTCATGACCTCACTTAATGTGGTTGTGAGCAGAGTTGTTACGCGTTCCGTAGTTGATGTTGGAACTTCATCAGTGGTTACTGCTGTTGATTGTTCCTCATTTGTGGTTGTGACCTCACTTGATGTGGTTGCAGGCAGATGTGTCACTTGTTCCGTAGTTGACATTGGAACTTCATCAGTGGTTGCTGCTGTTGATTGTTGTTCATTTGTTGTGACCTCACTTAATGTGGTCGTAAGCAGAGTTGTCACTTGTTCCGTAGTTGATGTTGGAACTTCATCAGTGGTTACTGCTGTTGATTGTTCCACATTTGTGGTTGTGACCTCAATTGATGTGGTTGCATGCAGAGTTGTTACTTGTTCCGTAGTTGATGTTGGAACTTCATCAGTGGTTACTGCTGTTGATTGTTCCTCATTTGTGGTTGTGACCTCACTTGGTGTTGTTGTGAGCGGAGTTGTCACTTGTTCCGTAGTTGATATTGGAACTTCATCAGTGGTTGCTGCTGTTGATTGTTGTTCATTTGTTGTGACCTCAGTTAATGTGGTCGTAAACAGAGTTGTGACTTGTTCTGTAGTTGATGTTGGAACTTCAGTGGTGCTTATTGCTGTTGACTGGTGCTCATTTGTGGTTGTGACCTCACTTGATGTGGTTGCAGGCAGATGTGTCACTTGTTCCGTAGTTGATGTTGGAACTTCATCAGTGGTTACTGCTGTTGATTGTTCCTCATTTGGGGTTGTGACCTCACTTGGTGTGGTTGTGAGCGGAGTTGTCACTTGTTCCGTAGTTGATGTTGGAACTTCATCAGTGGTTACTGCTGTTGATTGTTCCTCATTTGGGGTTGTGACCTCACTTGGTGTGGTTGTGAGCGGAGTTGTCACTTGTTCCGTAGTTGATGTTGGAACTTCATCAGTGGTTACTGCTGTTGATTGTTCCTCATTTGGGGTTGTGACCTCACTTGGTGTGATTGTGAGCGGAGTTGTCACTTGTTCTGTAGTTGATATTGGAACTTCATCAGTGGTTACTGCTGTTGATTGTTCCTCATTTGTTGTTGTGACTTCAGTTGAAGTGGTTGTATACAGAGTTTTTACTGGTTCCGTAGTTGATGTTGGAACTTCATCAGTGGTTACTGCTGTTGATTGTTGTTCATTTGTTGTGACCTCAGTTAATGTGGTTGTGAGCAGAGTTGTTACTCGTTCCGTAGTTGATGTTGGAACTTCATCAGTGGTTACTGCTGTTGATTGTTCCTCATTTGTTGTTGTGACCTCACTTGGTGTGGTTGTGAGCGGAGTTGTCACTTGTTCCGTAGTTGACGTTGGAACTTCATCAGTGGTTACTGCTGTTGATTGTTCCTCATTTGTTGTTGTGACTTCAGTTGAAGTGGTTGTATACAGAGTTTTTACTGGTTCCGTAGTTGATGTTGGAACTTCATCAGTGGTTACTGCTGTTGATTGTTGCTCATTTGTTGTTGTCATGACCTCACTTAATGTGGTTGTGAGCGGAGTTGTCACTTGTTCCGTAGTTGATATTGGAACTTCATCAGTGGTTGCTGCTGTTGATTGTTGTTCATTTGTTGTGACCTCAGTTAATGTGGTTGTGAACAGAGTTGTTACTCGTTCCGTAGTTGATGTTGGAACTTCATCAGTGGTTACTGCTGTTGATTGTTCCTCATTTGTTGTTGTGACCTCACTTGGTGTGGTTGTGAGCAGAGTTGTCACTTGTTCCATAGTTGACGTTGGAAATTCATCAGTGGTTACTGCTGTTGATTGTTCCTCATTTGTTGTCATGACCTCACTTGATGTGGTTGGAAGCAGAGTTGTCACTTGTTCTGTAGTTGGAACTTCAGTGGTGCTTATTGCTGTTGATTTTTGCTCATTTGTTGTTGTGACCTCACTTGTTGTTGTGACCTCACTTGTTGTCATGACCTCACTTGATGTGGTTGTAAGCAGTGTTGTCACTTGTTCCGTAGTTGGAACTTCAGTGGTGCTTATTGCTGTTGATTGTTGCTCATTTGTTGTTGTGACCTCACTTGTTGTTGTGACCTCACTTGTTGTCATGACCTCACTTGATGTGGTTGTAAGCAGAGTTGTCACTTGTTCTGTAGTTGGAACTTCATCAGTGGTTACTGCTGTTGATTTTTCCTCATTTGTTGTCATGACCTCACTTGATGTACTTGTAAGCAGAGTTGTCACTTGTTCCGTAGTTGATGTTGGAACTATATCAGTGGTTACTGCTGTTGATTGTTCCTCATTTGTGGTTGTGACCTCACTTGATGTGGTTGCATGCAGAGTTGTCACTTGTTCCGTAGTTGATGTTGGAATTTCATCAGTGCTTATTGCTGTTGATTGTTGCTCAGTTGTTGTCATGACCTCACTTAATGTGGTTGTGAGCAGAGTTGTTACTCGTTCCGTAAGTGATGTTGGAACTTCATCAGTGGTTACTGCTGTTGATTGTTCCTCATTTGTGGTTGTGACCTCACTTGGTGTGGTTGTGAGCGGAGTTGTCACTTGTTCCATAGTTGATATTGGAACTTCATCAGTGGTTACTGCTGTTGATTGTTGTTCATTT